CTTATCTGAGTGGGGTCCTGCCCTGAGGCCATCACTTCCTTTATTCCATTTAGCTTCAGGTTTAAATATTTTTTATCTCTTTGAGCTCTGGACTTAGTTTTATTATACTTCCTGATGTTTCTTTTTCTCTTCAAACTGTAGATTTTGCATTTTTCCTTGCTCAGTTTTCTCCTTTTTATTAAAATGTGCATAAGAGTGGCCACTAATAACCAAGTAACACAGTCAATACTAGACTGCCTTGAAATCTCTTCTGCCAATGTTATTAATCCAAAACTCTTTAATTTAGCCTCAGACAGATTTTTTCTGGATAAGGGCAGAAAACACCCACATTCTGCATCAAAGTTTCATAAGCATGGTATCTAGATGACTTAATATTCTTCTCCTCTCAAACCTCTTGAGCTGAACTGTCATAATATATATTGTTCGCAGCACCACTGTCTTCCATTCTCCTACTAATATGGCCCATTAAGACCCACTTAAATCATCCAACTTCTTTCCTAACCCAAAGTCCCAAAATCTACATTCCACCAAGATGCATGGTTAGGTCTTTCACAGCAATACGTCACTTCTTGGTACTTCTGTTACCAACTTCTGTCTTAGACAAACTTCTATAGCTGTGAAGAGACACCATAACCATGGCAGCTCTTATAAGGTAAAGCATCTAGTTGGAGCCTGCTTACAGTTTCAGAGGTTTAGTTCGTTATTAGAATGGCAGGAAGCATACAGCGTGCAGGCAGACATTGCGATGGTGAAGTAGTTGAGAGGTGAACATCTGGATCCACAGGCAGAAAGAGAGTTACTGGGCCTGGAAAGGGCTTTTGAAACCTCAAAGATCACCCCTAGTAACACACTTCCTGCAAGACCACACCTACTCCAACAAGGCTACACCTCCTAATCCTTCCCAAGTAGTGACGCTCCCTGATGACTAAACATTCAAACATATGCACTTATTGGGGCATTCTTATTTGAACCATCAAATGTTTAAAAGCTTTTCCATACCCAGAGTTTTAGTCTTTTCTCTTTTAATGTATAATCTAATATTCTCCTTCGCTTAATTTGTCTTCTTCCTCAAAGGTCAATTTGTACTCCAAACACATAAAAGATTGGAAACTGAGACTTACATATGAGAGAGACTATGAGACATTTGTCTTATGAGGCTTGAGTCACTCACTTTGTATAATTGTGTCCTACCCATTTATAAAGAAAATTCATTATTTCATTTTCCTTTACAGTTGAGTAATAGTACACTATTTATCACCTATCTGTCTCTTTATCTATCATTTATTTATATATCTCTCATCTATCTATCTTACCTGTCTACATCTATTTTTCTTACCAATTCAGTTGTTGAATATCTATTTTGATTCAGTTTTCTAGCTATTTTGAGTCGAGCCTTGATGAACATGGATTTGCAAGTGTCTCTTTAGTCCAATATAAAGTCCATTGGGTATTGGGTATATGTCCAAGAGTTGTGAAGAAGAGTCATATGCAAATCCCATTTTTTAGTTATTTTAGAAAAACTTATTTATCTTTACATAAGTTTGTCATTGCCTACATGAATGTATATGTGCCACAAGTGCCAGGTGCTTGTGGAGACCAGAATTGGTTGTTGGTTTTTTTTTGAACTGGAGTTACAGGTAGTTGTGAGCCACCATGTAGGGACTGGTAACTGAATCCGGGTCTTCCACAAGAGTAAGACTGGGAGAAGAAAGAAGAAGACCTCAGATGGTGATGGAGCCAGGGAAAGATACCAGGAGGATTGACTTCATCTGCTATGAAGATGAAAAGATCACCAACTTGGAATGCACATTGCCTCTAGGAAGGAAAAGGAACCTGGGCTTTCTGAAAACATGCCATCCTGCTAACACCTGGTGCTAGGCTGGGGTGGTGTGTTTTGAATGTCTGGACCACAGAACTGCAAAGCAATGTTTAAGGTATTTAAAGCACTAGGTTGTAGTAGTTGATTATAGCACCTGTAGAAATGCTAGTGGCGGTACTTAACACAAGAACACAAACAGAATTTTGGGTAACATTTCCACTTACATTTTAAAGTTTGTTTGGGAAAAGTCAATCAATAAAAGTAGTTAAGAGGGGGAGCTTAAACCTAGATGCCCCTCAACTGAAGAGTGGATAGAGAAAATGTGGTACATTTACACAATGGAGTACTATTCAGTGGAAAAAAAAATGGAATCTTGAAATTTGCAGGCAAATGGATGGCACTAGAAGAAACCATCCTGAGTGAGGTAACCCAGACACAAAAAGAGAAACATGGTATGTACTATCTCATATATGGATTTTAGACATGAATCAGGGGAGTACCAGCCTACAATCCCACTGCCAGAGAGTCTGGGAAACAGAACCTTCATCCAGAGACTGATGAAAGCAGAGACAGACACCCACAGCTAAACACTGAACTGAACTCCTGGAATCCAGTGTCAGAAAGAGAGAACTGATGGGCAAAGGAGTTAAGAGTGGGCTGGTTTAACCCACAGAAACAGTTGACCTGAACAAGGGGGAGCTCTGGGACTCCAGATTGATGGCTGTGTGGAAAGCATGGGACTGACCCAGACCTCATGAATGTGGGTGTCAGTTAGGAGGCCTAGAAATCTATGGGGCCTTGGGTAGTATTTATCCCTGGTATACAAATAGACTTGGAGTGCCCATCCCACAATGAGGGATGCTCTCTCAGAACGGACTCTTGTGAGAGGTCCTAGGCCCTGTCCTGGATGAAATAACAGACTCTGGATATCCACCATGGAGGGCCTCACCCTCCCTGAGGATCAGAGTGGAGACTGGGTGGGGGACTGGGGGGCCTGATGGGGAGGGTGGGGGAGGAGGGGAGGGAGAGGGAGTTGAGATTGACATGTGAAACAAGCTTGCTTCTAACTTAAATAAAAAATAGAAAAAAAGAGGGATCTTAGATTTGCACAATTTCAGATTCTGACTTCTTGAACTTGCTGGTCTATTTTAGACTTAATGGTGAAGTTTGAGGCTCCCATGGAGAGTTTTGCTTATTTAGAAAGGAATTTAGGATCCAATGATACTAACTGACATTCTGTTAACTTGTATAAACAATAACCAACTGTAATCTAGAGAATTAGACACCACTGTGATGCATCAGGTACACCATAGATATACATGATGCAGACTGATCAAATGCAACCAAAAAGCAAACAATGATTGAAGTGAAAGGGCAAAGACGCAGTCTGTCAACCAGGAGCTTTTCACAAAAGTAATCAAATATGAAAACCAACATTCTCTAGGTGATGAGAATGTATAGAATATTGTCCACCCCTTAATCCTCTTATAAATCTCAAGTCAAAATAAGTCTTATGTGAAATAGGATGATGAGAAAAGTCTAGATACCATTTCTAAACTCATGCTTAAGCAAATATTGGCTCAAACTCTTGGAGTACAATCTAAGTGAGGGAGGAGTGATAATATGAACAAAGCAGTCAAGACTATGATGGGGAAACCCACAGAATCAGCTGACCCGAGCTAATGAGAGATCACTGATTCCAGTCTGACAAATGGGAACCTGCATAAGACTGAACTAGACTCCCTTAATATGGATGACAATGGTGCAGCTGGGACAATATATGAGGCCACTGGAACACTAATGCACAAACTGACTTAGTGGAGCCCATTTTCTATAGAGAGATACCTTGCTCAGCCTAGACACAGGGGTGTAGGGGTGGAGAGGTGCCTTGGTCCTGCCTTAACTAGATGATGGGACACACTTAGTAGACATCCAATGTGAGGCCTTACCCTCTCTAAGGAGCAGAGGGGGGGAGTAGGGGGAGTGGAAGGAGAGAAGGGAGGGGGAACTGGGATTGGAATGTAAAAAACACAAAAAATTGTAATCCAAAAAAAGAATTTTGAAGAGTAACCTAATTATGTCTTACATTGTGTACATTTACATGCACTGATATTCAGTCCCATTGTCATCTATTATGTAGAAAAAAAATCTCTAATTTGTAACCATGGTGGTTGTCACTTCTTGGAACAAGCTATCTCTTCTGTTTCCTCTGCCTGGAGTGTTTTCTGCTTCCGTGTTTTTCATGGTTGGCTCCTTTTTATGTTTCACAGCTCAGCTAAAATGCGACTTCCTCAAAGAGGTTCCTCTGGAATGCTTGGTGGAGGACCCACCCCCACTTCGTGTTCATGGTGCTGCATCGATAACTACATTTAGTTGTTCAGATTTTTGGTTTTTCTTTGCAGTAGACTGTATACTCCATGTAGGAGTGTCTATATATTAGTTCTGTTTTCAACTATAAATCCAGCTCACATTTGGTGCTCAGGAAGTATTTTTAAAATGAGAAACAATAAAATATTCCCAATTCATTACTTGGATGGCAGATTTAGATGAACTCTTGAGAGGATTAGTAACCTCAGTGGTTCAAAGTCACCAGCCATACTCAAATGTCCTTTGTTTCATTTACCTGAATTTGGTACATCATTTAGGCAAACACCAGAATGAATAACATTTATGAGGGCAGTCCAGAAATCTGAAGTGTTGTTTACATTGCTGGTTAATTGAAAAGCAAGGGCAGCAGAATGAGATAATGAATTCAAGTTGGTATTTTCTCCAAGTTCTTGGAGCAATAGTGGGTTGATGAATTCAATTTGAAATTCAATCTTGTGACTCTTTTTTTGTAAAGTAGGAAATTGAACCCAGGGCCTTCTGTATTCCCAGTAAATATTCTGTACTAAGCTATATTCAGGCCCTCTGAGTCCTGTCTTTATGATTCTGTAGCAGGGTGACTCTCAGCATGCTATTTACTCAGCGTGAGCTTATGTTCCATTGTAGTTAGATGAGCATGTAGTCTATTGTTGTTGAGAGAGTTAAGTGCTAGGTGCATATGATAATTTCTAAAATGTGGAAGATGCTACCAATCATAGCTGTTACTATGATTGTTAGATATAGGGCTAGAAGAAAATGTTGCAAGTCATATCATCTGGTAAATACAATAGTTGCGATCACCAAGAATCCTAAGGGCTTAGTATTTTCACTTTTCTTTTATTTCTTTCCTTCTTATTAACTTGTTCAAGGCATTCTTCATGTCCTCATTTCTAAGGGTATAGATTATAGGGTTCAGCAGAGGGGTGACAGCGGTGAAAAACACAGACACAACCTTATCTTCTGGAAGGCTGGTTGATGGGCGTGAGTAGATGAAGATACAGTGTCCCAGGAACAGTGTGACTACGGTGAGGTGAGCTGCACAGGTGGACAGGGCTTTCCTCTTCCCCTCAGAGATCTGTTGCCTCAGATTCACCAGAATGACAGCATAGGACACTACAAGAACCACAAAACATACCACAGAGATCAGCCCACTGTTGGAGACAATGAGAATCTCAATGATGCGGGTATCAGTGCAAGCCAGTTTGATCACCTGAGGCACATCACAGAAGAAGTTATCAATCTCATCAGGACCACAATAGGGCAGATTGATGGTGAGTGAGGTGAGAGAGATAGAGTGGATGGCCCCCCCTGTCCATAGGGCCCCTGCTAGTAGCATACACACCTTCCAGTTCATCACGGTCATATACTGTAAGGGTTTACAAATGGCCACATATCTATCGTAGGCCATGACAGTAAGCAGGAAGATCTCTGTGCAGGCAAAGAGGTGCAGGAAGAACATCTGGACCACACAGGCATCAAAAGGGATGAGCTTTTCTTCTGACAAGGTGTCTCTCAGCATCTTTGGGACAGTGACTGTGGAGTGGCAGACATCAATGAAGGACAGATTGCTGAGGAAGAAGTACATGGGTGTGTGCAGCCGGTGGTCATATATGATAGTTATGACAATGAGGATGTTACCAATCAGTGTCAGGACATAGAAAATGAGGAACATGAAAAATATAGCCATCTGCACCTTTGGATTTACAGATAAACCTCTAAGCCGAAAAGACATCACTAAAGTTTGGTTGACAAGGACAGCTTTTTCCATTCTTTCAGTGCTCTGTAAAAATAAGAAAAAAACATGAAAGAAACCTAACACAACATTTGCATCAACCATTTGGTTACTTAATTTCATCTAGAACTTGTGGGCCAAATATTTTGTGTCTATTTTCTGTCCTTCCTCGCTTGGAGCTGGGGATACATATTAAGTGCTTTCTTAAAAACAAATCGTCTTTTAGCATCTTCACTAGATGCTAAACTCACAACATGGGAATAATGCAACAGTGAACTTTGATTGACTAGGAAGGGGATGGAGAGCCCAAACAAGGTATTTCTCCTTTACTGTAGCAATGTATCCATGTTTAGATTTACAATATTGGAGACAGAATCTCAAACAGTCGAGTCCTGCTATGCGGTGGAGGATGTCCTTGAACTCCTGATCCTTCTGCCTCCACTTCCCAAGTGCTGAGTTTGTTGGTGTGTGCCTCCACATCCAGCTAGGTTATGGATTAAGATTCTCCATACTCTAAGTAAGTACTTTGTGTAAGGTCCATAAACTTGGCCTTTGGATATAGTTTCCTTTGTTGTCTCATAGGTTGTACAAATCATTTCTTTCCTGGTGGCTTTTCCCAGGTGCTGAGAACTTAATTTCCATGATGTCAGTTTCAGAAGGCCGCAGCAGTTCACCATGCTGCTGGACAGTTAGTAATGTGACTGTGAGGTTTGTTGAACACTTTTTTAGAGAAGGCTACACAAACCCGAGAACCTGCCCTTAACCTGGAGGTCAAGGTCCAGGCTTAGCCACATCTGTGTGGACTAGACCATCTCTAATTCTTTAGATCCTAATTCCGTTGCTTGATTTATTTGTCTATAAATAAATTCAAACAAACTGTTTAATTTTGTTTTACATTAGCTTTCCTCTGATCCATGTTTTACTGCTATTTTAAAAGATTGCATGTATGTACATATCTATCCTGTATGTATGTACCCTATCTATCTATCTATCTATCTATCTATCTATCTATCTATCTATCTATCATATATTTATGTGCACCCTGTGCATGCCTAGTGTCTGTGGAAGCCACAAGTGGGCTTTAGAGTCTGTGAAACTGGAATTACAGATGATTGTTGAGTTTCCATATGGGTTCTAGGAACAGAACTTGTGTCCTCTGCAAGAGCAGCCTGTGCTCTTAACTGCTGAGACCTCCCTCCACCTCTACTACTGTTTTGTTTTAAATAATAATGGTGTGTTCTATATAATAGTCATAGGATTTTAGTTCTGGCAAAAATGGGGCATACAGAGGTAAGGCGCTAGGCTCAAGGTTGCACAGAATTGGAGTCACCGAGGGGTCTAGAGTTCGGGTCTCCTGCCCCAGGCTTCACTCACATTACCATCTGTGGTGGAGAAGTTAAGCAGAGGTGCTTTTAATGACATCTTTCTTCCCTTAGGTGTCCTGAGTAGGCTTGGGGAGCCCCATTTCTCAGGCTTGGCCCCTCATGCCATCTTTGCACACAGCTTTGCAGTGGTGTCTCACCCTGGGAACCTGTCTCTCATCCTGTGGTGTCTGCCTTATAATGTTCCTTAGAATTACACTCTGTGGACAAATGAGTCTTCCCCATACTGCTCACGGGAAACTTCCCTTCTGCTCTCAGCAATTTCAAACATTCCCTGTCACTCACCATGCCAGCCTTATGCAAGTAATGGCCACTTCTGCTGTCACTGTCAAAATAAAAATTAATAGTACTGCCAAATTGAGGCACTAACAAAACAGAGCTGTTGCAAACAAGACACTTTTATGACAGAAGTCTTTCAATTAACACCCAGAAAAGACAACTCTAACAGATCATTGTTTTGTTTACAGGATCATCTTTACAGAACTATGAATTAATTTTACAGTTTGTCATTTTTCTTAGAACATGCATTCCACAGTTACAGAAAACTATTTCAATTGTTTTATATGTTTTCCTTCTTTTAAAATGGAATCTTGGAGGACCAGGGGTTGATTTTAAATTAATCATGTGGAATTTGTTCTGAAGACTTTGCTTCCTCCTCATAGGATGGGCACACACACCTTTAACTAACCTTTCCTTCCTATCAGCATTTTCCTTCTACTTCTCTGAACTCACAGGAAAAAAATACTTTGGAAAATGTAGTGTCCAATGATGTCAAATAACTGATGTTAAAAATATGGGCTGGAGAAATGGTTCAGTAGTTAAGAGCATTTGTTACTCTTGTAAGAGGACCTAGGCTTGGGCCCCAGCATCTATAACTCCAGTTCCAGGGAATATGATACCTTCTTCTGACCTTCAAGGTCACCAGAGGCATTTACAACCTACATACATATGTGCAGACAAAACACTCACACATATAAGGTAAACTACATAATCTAAAAATATGTGGTGTACAGAAGTACACATTTCAGGAAAATGTAGTAGAAGATGAATAAGGGAAAAATAAGAATAAAATGAAAATATCTATAAAACTCACCTGAGTGCTTTCTGATGCTGTCAGTCCCTTCAGAAACACTTGGATCTTCTGTCCTGTAGTTTGAGTATGATGGCCTGCCAGCAGAAGGGAGGACTTATTTGAAGTTGGGTAGTCAGAAAAGCATGTGTGCATTGACTTTTTTCTATGAAGACTATAAGAGCCCCTGAAATTCCCTGGAGAGCCTTTTCACGGTTGTAAGTCAAGGCAGAAAGGTACTATTTCTGGATTTTTGCCAACACCACAATTTTGTATCTATACCATTGTCCTTTTATTTTCCACTGTGCAAGTAATTCTGCCGTAAGATTTCCTAGGATGGTGTCCAGTTGACTGAAGATGTGGTGTAAGAGCAGTATGTCTTGTGTTTTTGTTTTCTTTTCAGACCCAATGATGAATAGGCATTGAGAGTGAGGATCAAGCAGCTTCACGGTTCTGCCAGTTTATCAGGGCAATTTAAAAACCAAACATCACCAATTTAATCAGTACAACCATGTGGCCCCAATCATCCTGTTTGCTTTATTGCATACTTCAGGTGCAAGTTTTATCATTAGTTCCAGATGGGATATTCTACTTTTAAGCTCTGAAGCAAAATCATAAAGGGAGCAAACAGCTGTGGTTGGCAGCTGTGGCATTGTGCTGTTCTACCTGAATATCCAGGCTTTATTTCCAAAGAAACACACTAACAATGGTGTCAGCTTGCCAAGTGACTAGTTAGGAAAAGTTAATTCTGCAACTGCTGATGTAATAATCTTGGTGTCTGTCACTAAGAGAGTTTCATGAAAAATAGGACTTGAACACCTTTGGGGCAAATTGTATATGACTAAATTAGCTAGTAACATTTAGTGATCCCACTTGAAGCGCTAATTACTAGGGGGTGGTTCTGCATCTTCTTATTGAATTCACATCCAAGACAGATGTGAAAAGGGTAGTGGATGTCAGGTTTGGTCAGCCCTCTGAAAGTCTAAGTGCTTTGTCTGAGAGCCAGACTGTTGGGGTGCAGTTCTAAAAGTCCTAGATGTATGAAATATGTTACATCTCTCATCCTTAGTTTTCTTTTCCACAAAACATGAATATGGCCAGGACACTGGCTCAGTGGGGTGTAAAGGCTTGTCATGTAAGCTTGGTTACATGAATTTTATCCACAGAACACACCTAAAGGTGGAAGGAGAGAATCAATTCCACAAAATTGGAACACTCTGATCTCATATATGCCAAGTGCGTGCAACTACACATTGTATATACACACAATAGCAAAGCAAAATTAAAAAAGAACAAAATACAACTTTTTAAAGAACTTTTGAGATATTTGCCAAGTACGTGGCATTTTCTGTTACATGTAAAATATTCATTTCAGACAAAAAGTGAAGCAAAACACCACCTACTGTCCATATTTTTGGCCTCAACTATTTGTTATTTTAGATAATAGCAAATCTCTTGTATAAATTAGAATCTCTTGCCCTGGCTCTCCTTTTGCTTTCTCTTTGCTTTATTTGTATGAGGCTGGTGCTTAAATTGATGAAGAAGAATAAAATTGGAGAGATGAAGATTGTGTTGATCTTTTAAAACTTGAAATATTTTTGAAGATTTGTTTATTATGTGTGTGTGTGTGTGTGTGTGTGTGTGTGCCCCGACCCACAGGACATTCAATGTGGGGGGCTGGAGGGCACCTAGGAGAAAGATGGGGGACAGGAGATATGAAGAAATGATGCCAAGTGTCTGATCACAGTGACAGCTTTATTTCATCCCAAAGGGATTTATATAGGGGAAGAGAGGAGGGGAAGGAATGGGGGATGTGTTGCAGCTGCGATGAACCTGGTGGAGCAAAGGTCAGGGGGATGGGTAGGGCATCCTATGTCCTCTGGTAACCTAACTGCAGACTCTAACTTTATCTTTCACATTCTACCTTCTATCGTACAAGCCTATGCCCTAGTGACTAGGCAGATAAGCCGCAGGTCTATTTCCTTGGAACTTGTTTCCTGTCTTAAGAGGTGGTATTTCAGCAATGTGACCTGGAGTCATGTGTTCTCTATGAGGAGGGCGTGATAATGCTGTGGCTGAATTATGGCAAAGGCTCCCGGCATCTCCCCCTTTTTGGTTAAACAAAAAATAGACGCAGCCGGAGCATAAGTTACCCAAAAACCACAAAGATGATAAAGCCTGCCTTAGGACTGATCTGAGAGGCTTCATCCCTTACCTGTCATCTGATTATTTTGCCAGCCTTTAAAGCTCCTGTCTTAGGGGAGTGAAAGCATCCGAAGGTAGCCTGTCCTCGGTCAGCCATCAATAGGGGTGGTTATTTATTTTGTGGGTAAAGGGGCCTTCCAAGGTCCCTGGCTGGGGCTGCATGGGGCCCATGAGCAGATTATGTGCCCTGGGGGAGTTTGTCTCCTTTTTGCTAAGCGGAGACTGGGAACATCAGGCAGAGTTCGCCTTCCTCCTTGCCATTGCTATCCTCAGCTTTCTTATAAGGACTACTCTGTTTCATGGCTAGCCTCTGGTAATGGACCTGGATAGGCCTTGTGGCAAGATTATCTACTTGCTGTTTAATAAGGTCTGTCAGGCGCCTAAGGGCCCATTGGCCAAAAGAAATAAGCAAAACCAATTATTATACCAACTGTCTTGTTGCTATCTCTCTTTTGCTTTTCTCTAGACCCTCTCTGTTTTTCTTCACACTGTCTATGACTTCCCTGTTTTGTTAACAGAGAAACAGATTCCTCTTTGTTTGAGAGCACAAGGAATCGAATCCTAGTGCCTGCTCCCACAGCTCCCAGCCCCAGCAGCACATCTTGTTTATAATAATAGTTAAGGCTGGGAATCCATTTAACTAAAATGTAAAACATAGGGGTAGAATTCAGGAGGGGTGATTAGATGCAGGTGGTGAGGCCATCCTGATAGGCCCACCGTTCTTAGAGATGGCAGAGTTAGTATCCGGGAAGAGAGTGAGGTTGCAGGGGGTGTGGATGGCTTGAAGGAATTTGGAACCTGGGCGGGGGAGGGGGCTGTGCAGATTCAGGAACACTGGTTCAGAATGTTTCACTGGAACTGGTTTGGACAGCTTTCCATGGTTTCAGGTCCGGTTTTTTCTCTACTCCATGAATCTCACCAAGTTTTTGGCAGCCACAAAGCTTTGTTCTTTTTCTGTAAGAGAACACAAACATTCCCTCCACCCCAAATTGGGTATTTTCCACTGTCTAGTGTATGGATGTTTTATCTGACCAGAGCAAGAGTCACTCGAGTTCCAGCATACCAGAATCTGTCTGCTAGTAGATTGTTTACTGGCATCCACGTTTAAAAAATTTAAAATGAGGAGTGCATGATTTAATGCATCATGTGGAGATAAAGGTGATTTTATAGCCATTTTCGTAAGCAGCATGTGACTAAGGTTCATTGTGGAGTATGTCTGAATAGCTACTCTCATGCCTGTGGACCTGGTGGCTAAGGCCCGATACTCCAAGTCCCACTAACAGGGGGAAGAATTAGATGGCGCTCTTATGTCTAGGGATAAGATAATCTATGGGCTCACTTCCTGGAATAAACTCTACACCTGGGAGAAGGGTAGCTAATAAACATAACCCTGTCCAGTTTGTAGGCAACATGGAATAAGCCATTTCATTTTCACATGTAGAAACTTACAGGTGGGGATTAATGACATTACTATTACTCCCATTTTTAGTTATATAGAAGTTGCATTTTTAAGGAGCTATAAGCATGCTCTATAATCCCTTGAGCATTATGAGGGATACCTGTTGCGATCAATTTTCTATTGAGTACAAAATGGCTGAATGCCTTATCCAGGCCCAGACCTTATCTTATTTAGATGCATCCTGCCCCAAACATATAGTTATAATTTTACTCCAGATCATATGTGACCCTAAGTAACCATGGAAGCTGAAACCTATGGCCCTCTCCAAAAGTTTTTCTTTTTTGCTGGTGGGCATCTCATTTAATGGTTTTAAGTTACTGGTAGACACACTTTAAAAAAGGACATAATCATTGAATATTTCCCAACAATTTTTGAAAATCGCTTAAAAGATTGTAGGCTATCTTTATTAAGTTTTTAAATTGAGGTTTAATTTTATTAGAATACAACATATTTCCCAAATAAGATTTAATTTTTATTAGAATATAACATATGTTATATGTTTCAAATAACTTTTGAAAAATCACTCAAAATTTGCAAGCAGTCTTTTCCAATCCAACCCGCAAGCCTCTCTCTCTCTCTTTTTTTTTTTTTTTTGGTTTTTTTCGAGACAGGGTTTCTCTGTATTGTTTTGGAGGCTATCGGTCCAGCCCAGCCTCGAACTCACAGAGATCTGCCTGCCTCTGCCTCCCGAGTGCTGGGATTAAAGGCGTGCGCCACCACCGCCCGGCCACAAGCCTCTCTCTACTTGACAAGGCCTCATTTACATCTTAGTTGGCATGGTCTAATTTGCATTTACACTGACACCTTTGTGGGTGGGACCTGACCAAGTGGCAGTTCCCTGGAAAAGCCTTTTTAAAGTCATGTATTAACTTCTATTTGCTAGATTTTCTTTTGCTAACCATAAAAAATTTAGGAGGATCTCTGTATCCTCTCCTTTTAAACTATATAGAATCTTCCATACATATTCTCTTGGCTCCTGGGCCATGCAGTAGCCTTGTGCTATTTTCTATTGATTGGCTCTCAAGGCTTAAATCTTTCACCTTTCCTGTTAAGACATTAACTGACTGTCTTAACAGGAAAGATGAAAGATTTAAGCTGGCCGGATGCTCCTTTTGGCTATATCTAAAGTAATTTAGGTAGTTTTTAAAAACTATATTCGAAGTGATTTAAGTATCCTTTTAATAATATCCAAGGTGATCAGAACAGTTGCTTTAGTCAATATTCACACATTTACACTTCACATTCCATACACACTGGTGTGGCCATGCCTTACACACAAACCATGCACACATCTCTCATCTCTCCTCTTGCCCAGGTTATGATTAGTTAGTTGAAATGAAACATCCTTAATTGAAGTCTCTTGTAACACAGCAGCTATAGCCATATAGTTGAATTATGAGCACCCAAAATCTGAACAAATCCAAATTTATCTATGTTGTCTTTTTTTTTAATGAGGTCTTAAAACAGTTTCTGACTGGCTGTATTAATAGCATTTTCTATACGTTTGTCTGGGTGTCAGCCATGGGAGCAGCTCTCAAGGCTGCGAGCTTCCTAGGCTCCGACTCTGGCCTTCCTTGCCCCTGGCCTTTGGGCCTGGGCTGACCTGCTGTAGGTTACCTGCGGCGGTTTTTCTCTCTTGCACCCTGGACTTTTTAAGTTCCTGCAGGTCTGTCATCCGAACAAACCTTTAATAGACTCATTTGTGTAGCCTTCCTTTCCACAAGGTCTTAGCATGGCCTGGCATGCTGCATTAGGATTCCCATAAGCTAGTTGTCTCAAACAAAA